CGCATGAAATTTACAGCCCTCATAAATCTTGCACTAAACGATACAACATGTACAGTGTGTTTAAGATAACGATACACTATCAGTTCCTCACTTTGAATCATCAGTGACATCGGGTAGATCAACATTAGTTCCTTTCATCTTAAAATCATAATGATTGAGTACAGCATACAGGAATGACCCCAGTCCACCACCAATGTCACATATATGAGAACAAGATCTCAAATATGGATAATCCGCAATTATTGTGGGGGTGTTGAGTCGAGAGGTGTCGGCCATTTCAGCATCATGAAGGTCTTGGAGAAGAGGGTCAGTATTTAAATGTTCAGACTTCCTTAAAGTCAGAATTACCACTGTAGAGACTCAGAGAGAGAGCAGTACTGATTATCAATGACTCATCACCTAATGAAGAATAACAATGGATCACAGTTTGATACAATAAATACATTAAAAATTGTTTATTTTATTATTAAAAGTTACAAGCATATTCTTTAAACTCCAAGGTTTAAATTGAGGCCCAAAAAAGCTTGTGAAAATTTTAAAAATAAAAGAGTGAATTTATTTATTTTTTATTCATGCTATACAATGTTAAGAATCCTTGCAGCACAATAGAACTTATTAATATTTAATATTTAATTATTATTAAGAACCTGAGTATAATTTAACAAATCCCTTAAAACTCTTAGGATGGTTAGCAGTGAGGTACTGACTGATGGGGTTAGACTGTACTTGTCATCACTGGTCTCTGAGAGGAGATCAAAATGAGCTGCATGTAATATATGACACAAGTATGACGTGTCTAAAGGATCATAACCTATTGGTATTGAAGCACAGAAATAATAATAATATTATGTACTGTAGATTGGGAATATAGGATGGATAAAAATGGGATTTTCAAATATTTACAATATTTTTATTGATGGTTAGTAACTTCATTCCTCTATATGCATGCACATTACATTGTTAGTATATATCAATAACATTATTATCATTCATTAGCTTTTACCCATCTCTTCATCAATGATTGTTTTAATTTCTTCACAACTCAATGGCCTGTCTGCTTTCTCAATGGTATCTGGAATATTCAGTGTTGTTATCATGTAGAGAGCTCTTGATTCAATGTGTTGGAGTGCTGTGGTCATCACTCTTAAGTGATAGGGTTTCACATGCTGCCCTATGAAGAAAGAGATGGATCAATATTGAGAGTGATTTCAGATCCATTCTTTAAAGACCATGGGCTATAAATTGGCTTATTTTTTTATACGGCCATAACTCAAAAATATCTGTCTAGATCAGTTCAAACGCATAAGGACATCAATATGTATCAGAAAATGTAATAAAAATTTGGGGTGCTTTCGGAGCCATTTTTCATATAGCTTTACGCAATTGCTCGTTTTCTTTAAATGGCCATAACTCGAAAAGCATTTGTTGGAATCAGCTCAAACTTTGTACACAGCATAAGGACATTAATATCTATGGGAGCCTATTCTATATTCTACATATAAACCATAGATAGCTACTCACAGTATCACAAGTACAATGTATCTTTGCCTTCAGTACCCACCTCCGAGCCCATCTCTCAAAATATTGCCACGTCCTTGGTTCCTTGCATTAAGACTTTAAGAGCTCCATTAAGCGACTGCCTCAGACTGGCAAGTAGGAGCTGTGCATCTCCATAATACGTTTGCTGGGAAAAAGCAATAAGGGAGTGGCTGGCTGGCTGCTAAGATTAGATAAATAAAATGGTTGCCAGTTGTGAGGGTGAAAGTTCTAAACTTGTTGCAGTTCCTCCCGTTCAGCAGTAGCCTTGACCCGGGGTACTGGCAGGAGTTAGGGAAGAGGAAACTTGAAGAGTATCAGCTAAGAGAGAACCCGAGAAGATGAGAAAGAATATCAACAAAATGAGGTCAGTAGAGGGCCGGAGAGAGAAAAGGTTTATTGATAGTGTATGATTATCTGTTAAGGTTCAAGAGACCCTTACAATGTTAGAGAGTGCCAATCAGAACTTCACCACTCGTTATAAAGGAGGACACAGCAAGTGGCATCAGCTTTTGGGATTGTTGGTAAGTGTTTAGAAAGAGACTTATACAAGCAGTTTAATTACATGTACAAGTAATATTAATATGAAAATTTGTAATAGATTATTGACATTAAATTTTATTATTTAAACTGCAAGTGTCTAAAAAGACTTTTACAGGAGTACATGTACATGTACATGTACATGTACAACCATATCCCAGACTGTATTATAAAAGGACTAGCACATGTACATATACATGTATGAAAATTACCAATTTTTATATATTTATTTATTACATTGTTATCATATTATCATCATCGTTTACATATTAACTTAGGTTTTTTATTCTTAATACTAAAAGTTCCCTTTTAATGAAACTTTTATTATAATTTCATTATTTTAGGTTTTATCAGATTCCTTGAAGGCTATTACATTATTGTCATCACCAAACGAAAACCGTGAGTTATTATCATTACCATGGCAACAGGCTCCACCCCTCCTCCCCCACAGTGTTGCTAATATTGGTGGTCATATATTGTATAAGATTGAAGACACTGCCATGCACTGTCTGTCTGCTCCTACTGGTAGGCCAGCTCATCCTGATGAATCAAAATACGTTAAAATATTTCAAAATGTTGACCTATCGTCTAATTTTTATTTCAGGTCAGTGATATTTATAATAATTATTAATGATTTTTATTTTATATATTTTGTCTTTGTTGGTACATTTAATTGGATTATCGTGTCTTTTTAGTTCACAATAATAAATTCATTGATACGTCATTAATAGCATATGTATAAGCATGTACATGTACATGTACATGAATCATATGAAACTCTCCCTGGATTTTTTTGAATTTTGGAAGAGTAAAATTTTGATGAATTGCTACATTTTTGATGATTTGTTGGACAATTTGTAACCATGTGCCATTGAGCATGCACATAATGGTTGAAAAAAACATACTTAATTAATTTTTAAAATACTTATCAAAATGCAGAAATCACTTCTCCCAATATTAAAAGTTATACTGTATTTATTAATATTATTTATTATTATTATATTCCCCTCCAGTTATTCTTATGATGTAACTCATTCCCTTCAGTTCCGAATGAGGACTTCAGAGGGTCCTATGCCTCCGTCCTGTCTTAGGTTCATATGGAATGAGTACTTACTGGAGAACCTTGAGGGCTTCGTACACTCAAGATGGATACTCCATATAATATGTGGATTCATCTCACAAATCAGTGAGTGATGAATGACCATGCACTTGAATTGGGGAACTTTAAAAATTCGTAAAAAAATCCAAACTTGATCAAAATTAGCTCAAACTTCCTACACAACATAAGTACATGTATATGCATCAGGAAATGTCATA